AACAGAGCACAAGATAATGAAGTTTCCATGGTTTAGTGAGAATTTTATATTTCATTTTCTCAAGTTTATTCTACAAGGTGGTAGTGCAGAGTTTGATTTGGCTGTGTGCTTCGTCACAAATTAAGAGTAAACAGGGATCATTAATAAGCAAAGGGCATCATAGGGGGAAGTTGCACCTTCATTCAGAAGTCATCAGAAATGTGCACTCACAAATCCGCCAATAATTGGACCAAACAGGATGTTCAAATTACTAAGCCACACTCGTTGGTGACGAAATGCCCACTGATAATCATGGAAAAGTTCTCTGTTCTCTATCTTTCTCTTCACATTAGATTGCTTTACTTGTCGCTGGGATTATTGGAATTCCATGGACATGTTATGTAAGTTGGCTTTTTATATCAATGAACATTTGTGGATGAGTTTCCAAGTATCCGATATGCTGTTTCAGTGTGTCATTCACGATTTGTGCGTCCGTATTTCAATGGTGGAATTCGTAGCAGTTACTGGTGCTGTGTTCATTGTTGAAGGTTATATAGCCAGCTGTTGCTCGAGCTTAGTATAGATTAGGAGCACTCCACAGATTTGAATGTGTTTCCAAATTACCCCGTGGTACGATCAACGCTGTCTGTCCAAGGCCTTTCAGAAGTCAATGAAGTTGACTTAGAGTGAGAATTGACTGTCTTTTAAGCTCTGTTTGGTGATAATATGTATACTAACAATTCAGTCAAAACGTGATTTGCCTTTTCTGAATCAGGCCTGTTCCGCATCGAGTTTCGAATCCAATTCATGTTTTTTCTCTTCAGGATGACATGATTCCGTATTTTACTTGGCGTGAAGAAGAGCGTTATTCGGCGTCAGTTTTTGCACAAGCCTTAGTTGTCATTCTATGGTATTTTCACAATGTACATTTTATTCCAATCGGAAGGCGCCTTTCCTTCTTTCTTAACGTCTTGCAAAAGTGCCATGAGGATATCTACTGGCGTCTCTGAGTCCATTTTCTGTCTTTCAAGGGAAATCCCATCTATTCCTGCAGCCTTTCTGTTCTTAAGTAGCATGACTGCATTCAAGATTCCTGTTGGAAATTAGTACTCAGTTACAGTCAGTTCTGCGTGTTCTGTTGGCGGTTTTTCTAGGTGAGCTGCAGGTGACAGTCGCTTCGAGACTTTTGAAGCCACCAGCCCATAGTTCAATCTATCTCCTACCTTGCTGATTACGTTCCCCTGATCCTCTTTTATAGGTTTCGTCTGCATTGATCTCTCCCCGAGTAGATACCCCCTGTGTGATATAATGTTCCCAGGTCTACTCTACCTGCAACCTGCCTGTTCTGCTTAGTTCCTCAACGTGTCGAAGAATTGTCTTTTGTCTTTCCTAGCGCTTTTCTTCATTTCTTTATTCAGTGAGATGTACACTGAATTTGGCTTCTCCTTCTGTCTTGCATATTTTCGTTGCTTCATCTTCTATTTCACCATCCTCCTTTCCTCTCTTCTGTTAGCTTCCTGGTGTCTGTGGAGAGCTATTCCTTTTCTGGTCTCCTCTTACTTCCTAAAACGGCTGTATACAGAGAATTGAGATTTTGTCAGTGATGCTCAGGCATTTCACGTAATGCTTCTGACTTTTCTCATATGGGCGTAGTGAGGGCATAACTTGTAGTTTCGTCCTTGAGTTTCTGAGTGCTAATTTGTTACTTTTGTCTGTCATTTCATTTATTTGCAATTACTAGAAATAAATCAATGACTGTATGTCTTCTTCACATATTACACTATTCATCTTGACCAATCAGAAGAGTAGGACTCCTCATTACCAATCAATTCAGGAAAAATAAATATATATAAGCAAGATAACCACATAGACAACAGAAGTCCATATACAGGCAACCATGATATCTCATACTCTTCCACTCATCACTATAATACTTGTCATTCTGTCTTCGTGTTTATCTGTTATAACGTGTAAGTAATACATAGTAATAATAATAATAACAATAATCATTTTGTACTGTTTTTCGTTTAGTTTGCTTTAATATTTTGTACACTTAAATAAATAAATTGAGACATGTAAAATAAACCCCTTGACATGACTGAGGAGTACAGGAGTTCAGCTAAACTTCAAAGATGATCAATCAACTGAAGATATCAGAGTCACATAAGAAGTAGAAATGTAGTAGTTGAGATGGGAGAACAAAAAAATTAGGATTAACAAAATTTGCGTGTTGAACTCTGAGACAAATTTGACCCAATGTAGATCGAAGGACTGAACAAATCTCTGTATGCAGATGTTCTTTTCAATGGACGTGAACCTTGATTTCAAGGGAGACTTAGCTTGCGATGTCATTAGGAGAGAAGAATATCAACATCGCTGAAAAGAACACACTTCACAGGAACGCACAATTTATTTCTCATAGTCATATCCAATTACTCACACAACTTTCTAACTTCATTTATATAATCCGATTATTTTTCATCGCTTGACTTGATTGGTTGTAGTATTTTCCACATTTTCGGTATGAGTGTGAGTCATTCCTAGTGAACGTGTTGGATGTCGATTCAACGAACAAGGAGTCAGTTATCAATCTCTCTCTCTATCTCCACCTACATGTATCACTTCTTAGAATTTTAACCCACTCCCACTCCATTGTGAGGCTGTGTGTTAGTGTATGCAGTGCGAATGATGAGCTTTTTCTAAATTACTTATCATCGCGGAGTCAATCATTTAAAGATTGACTAAATTCTTATGTTCTGACAGTCTTCTACTCCCTGTCTACTACTCTGACCTATGTAGTTGACTTAACTGACAGTCATTGCAAGGTATTTCGAAACGTCATCAGTAAATGTTTTTGTATAACACTGTGAGACTTTATCAAACTAAATTTTACCCACAATGGAAGTTTAAATATTATTATATAATAACACAATCCTCTGTATGCTTTGTTCCACATCTCATTTCCTTTCATTTCCATGTGTATCACAAATATAACCCAATCACATTGAATTCTATCATTATTTTCATGCAACTCTAAAAGTAATTAAACTCGTTTTTTGAAATGAACTATAATCTAAGTAATTCAACTCTTTGTGAGTACAGTAGATTACTTGGATGTGAGCGTGAAGTAATTAATCAGTCTGCATGAATGAATCAGAGGACCTAATCAAGTTTCTTATTTATTGAAATACTGTACATGCTCGTCTCTTTCAGCACCGTTAATCGATACTCACTCGTTTTCAGTCCTCATCAATTACTCTGAATTCACAGAAAACACCCATTGAGTCATGAAGAAAATAAAAGACAGATTCAGAGAAGAAAATTTTCTTTATCGACGAAATAATCTTCAGAGGCTGTGCAGTCGTATTTATACTTAGAAAAATGTTTATTGGTCTATTATTGAGTAATAAGGGGTGATATAATTGATATAATTAATCATAAGTGGCTTTAGATTGCCACTAATTTCCCTCGCTGAATTTGTCTTTTATACTCTGAATTCCTCCAGTGGGACAAAAAGAGCTTCAAGTTTGAACTTTGTAGTCATAGTAGCTTGTGTGATGTCTTCTCACGGAGATAGCTAGTTAATATCACATCAAAACCTCCCAAGGCGTATATGTTTTGAGAGCATTCTAACAATTATGAGTTGATGCTGTGGTGTTATTACTCTTTTGGAATTTAACTTAGAAGTTTCTACTTATCGAATACAGTCTTCTTTACTCTGGTCATCATGCAAAAATACTACGTCATACTCCTTTCATTAATATCTAATTTAAAGTTTGGAGAAGAGTTGACATCTGTTAGAGAAGCGTAGAAACCTGCGGTGGCTGAACGGTCAGCAAACTCATTCCGCCACCTGAAGACACTGGTTTAGATCACCACTAAACTGAAGTCGTGTCTACATAATGCCAAAGACTCGCAAACCAGGACGGAACAGCTGGGCGATACTCAGTAGGGCTGATGATATCCAATATGTGGTTATGCTGTTTAAGTGCATTATGGTCCTCTTGGTATAGAATAAACAGTAAGCGGTTTCCTCTCAAGTTCTTCAAATGTGTGAAGATAACCTTACCTGAATGCCAGCTGATCAAATATCTTGGTTATCTGCTTGGCCCATGCACATTTCAGATACCAGTAGTCCACTGTAGCTCTCAGTGTTTGTTAGAGTGATCGAACTTGAAAACAATCGAATGACACTCATCCATCACTTGAAATCACACAATATCATAGACCATTCGATGTAGTAAAAAATCACTGAGATAAGCCACTAATCTCCATGACCGTAATTACATATTTATTTAATCCTCACTATTCGGAAGAATTTTGATTATTTTAACCGTACCATGAATTCTTTCATAATCGTTTCTCTCCTCGACAAACTGAATATAAACGCTTATACAGTCAGATACACGAATAACAGCGACTGCATAATTAGATGAATGAAAGCACCAGCTCACTAACTTGCTGTCACCATGTGAAACTGTGTGGCTGAGAACTGTACACGAAGTCAGATATCAGGGGTTTCAGTCTTGAATATTTTAGTGATAACAACGACGAGCAGGCGCCTGAGAGACCAGATCGCTCATCAGATCACTTCAAAGTAGAGTTTGTCAAACCACCGGTTCCTATGAGAGCGGGTATATTGGTCTTTCGCTAGCTTTCCTATCTAGACATGTCCCACAGAACTAGCCCACATGGCAGAATGAAGGCGGGACCGGCTTCACAACTAGCGTGGGGAATGTACTACTTGTGTTCACACTGATAATTCCACCTCAACAAACTCCTGCATAAAAGTGGTCTCCGAAGTGAAAGGACAAGTTGCCTAATACAAAACACGTTTGTCTTCTTCTCAAGTGTACTGATTGAAAATTTTGGCATCTGTGATTATCACAACTCATTGCTTCAGTTACTGTCCTCTGGTTTGTAAAACTTGCCTGCACCGTGATCATATTTATCTAGTTCACATCAAGAATAAATTTGTGAAAAAATTAACACTATGTCTGTTTCGATTCTGGTTTCTTTAGCTCAAGCAGTATTACAACGTAAGCAGCTACAAATTCATGTGTATATTATAAAAGTTTCACGCATAGATGATAAAGTATATGCGTTTTTGTATACACATATATGCGAGCTTATTATTATTATTACCACTTGCATTACTTTTTCAACACTCCAGTGTTGTCTACTTGTATTGAATAATTATAAGATAACTGTATCCTCCTAAGTCTGAGATTGTATTGTACATCACGCCTGTAGATCTTGTCGATTGTTATAGTGCACCACAAACAACACGTGAGTGCACAGATCAAACAGATTGAAAAGAGATTCGAATAAACAAACAAATTTGAAAAGAAAGTGAAATATGAAGAAGACAAAGAAGAGGTAGAAGACGAAAACACGTTCAATAGACGACTACGAGAAAGATAACTGTGACAGACCAAATGGAATGTTTCTAGGTTAAATGAGATAAGTATCAATGGAAATCAATAAGTACGATTGTGGAGTAACAAAATGGTAAATAAAATAAAAGCTCAAACTACTAAGAAGTAATGAGTAGCGAAAAATAACCACAGAATCGGAGGGTGTCTATTCATGATCAAAACAGGTCGGGTGAGCACAGTTGGAGATGAGTTGTCGTCGTCATTCGACTGGTGTTGAGCACAACTTCAGTGAGTTACCAATGAGATACCACAACCCATCACATAAACATCAGTGAACACCAATCTTCAGGCAAAGAGAGATATCCTGATTGCATTTAACTGACTGAAAGCCAGATGGAATCCCCCAACAAGTGCTGAAAATACACCTTACGACCACATAGAATATCCGCACAATGCTATCACAGACAGTTCGGAAGGTGAGAAGTCAAGTTGTGAAAGAATGTTGACTTGAGGCCTTGCAACAAATGACATGGAATCATGCTGCGATATTCGCCAGGTAGAATACTAATCAGTGTCATCCTGGAGAGACCGAGAGATGCTCTCAATACGAAATGATGTCCAGAGGACACTGGATTCAGAGAAGACAAATCATGAGTCCTTCGAATTGCAACTCTATGTATCATTGTCATCATCATCGAACAGATCGTAGAATGGCAGCCTGTCTACTCAGGCTTCATCGACTGTGAAAAGGCCTTCGACAGCTTTGACGGCAATGTGGTTTGAAACTGACGCAAGAGTAAGAATTGCAGTGACACAAACCTCTAAAGAACTTATTTAGTGGATATATGATGATGATGCCGTATGTTGAGTGGTTGAATAAATGGTTGGGAGATAAATGAGAGAAGGACAGGATCTACTACCACCGACGATTTTCTTGACTGTAGTTGACTGGATCATTCAACAGATACAATCTGTTTGGGTTATTTTAACGCGAATTTTCATTGTGTTAGAGATATGCAAAATTGTCAGTCGAATGCTGCTTACAGTACGACACACAGGAATGTGGAAGCCTTATGGAGAAAGCAATAGTAGTAATGTTAGTAATAATTGAACTAATATGATAACGACGGTACGTGAAAGGCCCTTAAAAGGATACCTTATAGTGCAGATTCCTGTAACATGGTAGAAGCCATTTAAAGCGACCAGGAATCTGACACTGAGAGAAACTTTTTCCTACTGTCAAGGCGGTAGATCCTATTCGGAAAATTATATGAATAACTGAACAGCATGTCTATCTAGATCAGTTCAATCGTGTGAACAAAGAAATTTAGCTTGATCTAGATCGATTGACTCTGCTTTGCCAAATAATACAGTAAAACTCTCTGCCATTGGGAGAAGTTAAAATTAATAAAAAAAAAACTTATATATTACCACTTGGAAATATAGGTCTGTCCCGCGCACACACACCGGATCTTACTGGTGTGTTGGTGAGTGCATAGTGATCAGGTAGCATTGTCACTGGTTGGATATCTTCATCGCCATGATCAGTTTACGCTCACCATTGCGCGTCGATTGCACAGTGGTTAGGACTCTCGCCGACCATGCACATGGTCCGGGGTTCGAGCCCACGCCGGTGCACACTTGATATCTATGGTCGGCCTGCAAAATTTGGGCTACCGATATCCACGCTGAAAATTCCACACTTGTACCAAAAATACAGTGTGGAATCAAGCTTTAAATAAAAAAAATTGAATTCCTGTCCTCTTTGCAAGCCTCTTCTGCCAACTTGTAGGTTTTCTACTGCCTCTTCTGGTTTGTGTGAAATTCGGCTTCAATCATTCGCAGTCCAGATCTTCTAGATTCATTGTGTTTGTCCAACGTGTTTCCATCCTATCACTCCTCACCTAATATCTGCAACGCGATTCACTCCAACACAGTCGCCAACATCATCAGCGATCTATGCTTTAAGGATTAGGATTAAATATGTCTGAGTCATTTTTTCTTACCTATCCATAAAGTTACCTGCCACGATCGCAGATCACGTTTGCATTTTTAAAATGTAAATTCAAGTTAAATGTGATTGTTTCTTGACTTTCATGTTTATGTTTTATCATTTTTCAACTGAAGCATCAATCAGTAGTAAGTGAGAAGAGCATTCATGTAAAACGTTAAAAATTGATGCTTTCTAACACCTATGCTGATATTATGTATAAAGTTTGTGATAATTGTTCTATTGGAAGTAAACCGATTCACCTCCGTGCTACTCTCACACTCACGGCTAGCATGTAGTTTCTTATTCCACTGAAGCGTCAACCTGACACGTGATGTCGTACGACAGCCTTCTTGGCGTATGTTCAGTCCATATCGATTTTCAACCGCATGTTTGTTGTGTAATGTTCTGTCTGTTCTCTCGTCGCCAGAGCTCCTTGCCACACGCCAGCCATGTGATGTTTACCGACGTGGTAGCGAGGGCATGACTTCAAATGTTCTCATTTTCTTGAGTTTACAATGGAACACATGTCTTCGAGCTTGAACTTTGAAGTTCCAGAAGCGACAGTGTTGCTTTTAAGGTGTGAGGTCGCTAGCCTCATAGGCGAACTTCCATCTTCACTGGTATTACCACAAGCTGAGCGTGGTTTAGCGGTGCGTCGAACTCAGAATATGCTCAGGGTTAATGTGCAGTTTATAATTAAAACACTGACGCACTCCGTATATAGTAGTTACTCTAAAATGATGTCTCACCATTATCCACAGTATCCAGTGAGTTACAACATGAGAAAAACGTGTTTACAATCTAACCTTCTCCATTTATCCCCTCTCTTAGTTATTCGAAGAGCGCTGGAAGAAGTGAATAATAATACTAACAGATATGAAGGTGAGATGAAGTTTATTTTCCTCTAATTATTGATTCTTTCGCTAACTGGTGTGTGCCATTATTCTCAGTGTCCTCTTTCGATATCTAATGCTAGAATTTATTTGTTGATCCGTTTTATTTTAGGAGGTCATTAATTTAAGCAGCGAATAAACGCCATAGTTACCTGACTAACTGTGAACTCGAAATACTAAAATCTACCAATCAGACGACTTGCAATTTGCCTATACCAGATATCATCAGTGTGACGCCTATGCACTTGTAGACAAATTACGCCTTCTCTGATGTTTAGATTTCGATTTTTTATCCATTTGTATTCTGTGTGCAGGCTGATTCAATCTCAAAGCCTTTATTGTCCATCTTGACATCCTCAGCGCAAACTTTATTAAGAAAACCAGGGAGTACTTATCGACGGCTCTTTTGAACAGTTGTCTATCTGAAGTCTGTTCGTGACCAAACTTGGAATCAGTCAAATCCCTCTGCAAACTAACACTTGTGAATTAATTCATTGTGCTCAGTAGCGGGTGACTACAGGATGAAATTGTCTGAAGTTCTAGTGGGACTTTGTGACCATCTGGGTCCACAAATTGTTAGAAGTTACAAGTGAACTCACCTTGTAACACGAATTTCCTGAGTTCAATCTCCATTTAGGTCTTCAGCGTGTAATGATGAAGCGTCTTAAATTATGAGGATGAAACAAATGTCCAGATCTGCTTGACTATGTAAATGACCATAATTGCCAGTCACATTGTCCTCGCCTTTCTGGTTAGGCTTCTACGTCTTCTCAATGTGTTGAAATAATAGCTGATGGAATGATTGTTCATTTAATGTTGGTATTCCGAAGTAACAGGAACAATGAAATCACAAAGTTCTAGTACTATCATGTCACTGTTAACATAGTCATGCCACTAGCTATACCGCATCCTGTAATTATGTACGGCATGAAATATGCTGAACAGACGGTTGAAATATAGACACAGATGTGCACGAAATGAGAAGTTAATTGAGGTATATGAGAGCAGAGACACGCACTGAAGGGTGGAGTTGAACCACAACAGCCGCTCCGGTAGATTACCTAACAGATGCTTTCAATAAAACAGATATGGACTTCAGTTCTGGATTCGCATAATGAAGTGGTTACTGTGTGAGTAATGAATTCTTTGTAGTTAAATAGGCAGAAATATGCGGAGAAAACCTGACAAGATAACTGGTCTTTAAGGAGGATTATGATCCTATGGAAGATAATAGAACAGAATCAAAAATATAAACGGATCCAAGAACACCATGATGTATAAGTCACCTCAATGGTTTTCCGACCTTTTCATGTGACTCAATATCTTATTGACACTCTTGCTCGATATGCCCTTTTGTCTTCTCTTTTCGAATAAACTACTCACAGAAGTGGAGCAGTTTTGCCAACTGAACGTTTTGATCCATCTGTACACAATGAAGTGCCTCGGTGGCGCAAAGTTAGAATGCTTGCCACCCACCCACCTCTTCCGTAATTCGATTCTCAGCAGGATGCACTCACAAACCTCGCTTAGCTAGCAATAAGTCCGGCAAAACCGGAAGGCTGATCATTGGATAGGCTAACCCACTCCGTAAAATTAAAAACACCATTGCTAGCGAAACTCCAAAGCTTTACCTTGAAGCCTTATGTTCCACTCGGAACGCAAAGGAATAAAAGAAAACACACAATGAGAATTCCTAATTATTGTTCCAAATTTGCTTCTCCAATCATCCAAAGTATCTTATTATGGTGGATGTTCATGGAAAATCCCCACGGAAACACACAGAAAATCAAAACAAGTTATTCACATAGGCACATTCACACATATGATTCCATTCCCCAACCGGATATAATTTCTTGAAAACCATATATTCATACGATCGTTCAGTTTGATAATAATTTCGTTGAAAAGAGCCTCTTTGCTGAATCACTTGTTTCAATTTTCAACAGGGTATTAGCAGAAGAATCAAATTTCACTTATTCAAGTTGTGTAAGCAGTTGGCTGACAAACAATTTGGCGAAAAGTAGCTAAGATCTGTTACAATTAGATTGGACTAAACATACACTGAAGAGACTCTAGTAAAGTCTTCGATTAGAGGCGGAACCAACATCAGTTAGCGAATCACTGAAGACCAGGGAGTACTGGACAGCTGCTTTGTCACACTTGTATCTTCTCGCCAATACACAGCGAAGACTGCAGTGAGGTTAGAACCCCTCACGACATCCAGGTCGCGAGGTCATTCAGCCATATGTCTTGGAATTCAATAATTCAAATTAGGATAACAAAACAGCTGTCCACTATGTCGCTTGGTTTTGCAATGATTGCTGGTCAGTTGTTGGTTGCTGTTGTAACACGAAATCTACATTAAAATTGATTCACACCCTCAGAACAACAGTAGTATAAAAACGAATACGTGTTTGAATTGAATTAACAAAACTTTCAACTTTAATTCTTCAATCAATTTAAGGAGTTGGTCGACAAGAGATTCAGTATGAGATTAAGTAGAAAGTGGATCCGTTCTACCCCTCCTCTATATGTGTTTTCGTTGTCGCTTTGTTAAATGTTTAGGAGAAACATTTGAGGCTTCTTTGAATTTCCTTTTGGCTCACTGTTTGACTGGTTATGTGGGATCTAAATGTCCACCGCCTCTGCTGACACTTTGTCACCTCCGAGTGTGGACGCATAGACGATGTCTATGGAATTATTATGAAGTCATTTTGGTGAGACATAATGACCAGTAGTGGAATCTAAGCTGCTCATTTCACTCTGATAGAGGCTCTTTGTCTGAATGTAAATTCCTCCTCAATGAGTGATGGAGTTCTCACTGACACTGGAATCCTCTACCCAACCTTTGAAGAGTTGGTGGTTATGGACTAGCGACTTAGTGTTCAACACTTCGGCGTTTGAAACGATGCGGCAGGGTTCGAGTCTCAATGATAAAAACCACATCACCACTTATCGATTCGCCAAGAATACAGGCATATTAGATTGAATGGTGAGTTTTACTTTAGTTGAGACGAGGATTAATGTCGGATTTAGGCTGACGACGGGTTATGATTAGCTCAACTCGGCTTTCGCTTGAGCGATGGTCTGCAGTGCAGTGTCACTCGGCGGTCTTCTCAGTCTGTTTAAGGAGGAATCACGGTCAATGTTGGGTTAGAGACGGACTTGGTGTTAGAAGTGAGCTTAAGAGTCAAATTTACACTCTACTGCTGTTGCTCTTTTCCAAGGTCACTGGTATGGTGTGGCGTCCGTGCCTCTTCAGTTTCCAAAACTGAACTTTCACATTTTTATCGTGTTTTTCTGACATCACTGACAAAATATTATTTTCTACTGTTTTCTGTCTTCACAGAACTTTCTCAAAGGACACTCATCACTATAACCAGTCTCTTGTCATCTGCATCATCGATTCAAAGTAAGTCAGAAAGTAATTGGTTGATTCATCGTCTTGGCTGACTGATAAATTTCATATAAGACTTTTTCAAAATATTCAAGATTCCCATGATGAAATTTAAAACAACATGTTGTAAGCATGGACAGTGGATCGTGTTATCAATTAGATGTCATCAACATGCTTTACTCCAATGTACATAGACATAACTTTATAAACAAATATGATTCAATACAGACCACTCATCGTGACTTGCAAAGCATTCAGGTGGACTTAGAGAAGACAGACATGATGAAGCCACCTGACTAGTAACAAAAGGCATCAGTCGGGATCAACGGAGGGAATTCGGAGGTGGTCACTATTGCCAGTTACCGTGGATGGAGTCGTCGCCACTGTAGGCATTCTTACATATGAGGATGACAAAATCGGTCAGGATCGGAGAGTCAAGATATAGCCTCGTCACTATGAGATAAGTGTGTAAGTCAACTGCACTAAGCACTAGGGAAAAATTTCGTATTCTTAACATGAATGTTAAATTAGTTCCCCTAAATGCTTGAGGGAGTCACCATGACAGCAAAATATTCTGAGCATATTGCAGACTTCATCAACAGCTGCTTTCGCTTCATGCTTAAATTCAGATGGCTGGTCATAAGCTATTGGCAATAGGCGACTGTGGCAGGTTAGGAACTAACCTGCGACTTATCCACCTTTGAAATGTACAGCGAAGAAAATCGAGGTGAGATCTTTGGGCGATATCGCACTCCGGGTCATTGCATGAGTGGGACGCGAGTGGAAAACAGTGGGTTCCGCGTCTGAAGGTGATATGGGAAATATTATGAGATAAGGAGAAAATGAAAGCCCATCGGAAATCGTAGAGTCAGCTGAAAAGGACTGCACTGGACATGGGTTTGGAATAGAGATGTGTTGTGGAAGCTCTATGCTCCGTTCGGGATCCAGAGGAATAATAATAATAATGGTGATTAATCGACTGGATGTTGAGACTGGGCATATAAACAGTGCACTTAGAAGAAAATGGAGATTTACAACGGTTTGTCGAAGCGATTGGAATAAACAAAAATAGGCCTACAGAAACAGTCTGTGATTAGTCTCTCAGTCACTGAGTAACTGCATTTTCATCTTGATCACGTGATGATTGCATAATTGGCCGTATTACAGGTTAAAGTTCACAGAACTGATCTCAGTTCTATGGAATATAATTTTCTGGGGTTTTTGGTTAACCTATTTCTCCATCTTCTTTCTCCTTCTTGTTTTCAACTTTGAAATGTATACAAAAACTGATGATGACTTGACCCAAAAATACTGTGATGCTCACATTTTAGCTGACAATACTTGTGCAACTTTCTCTCTGCTATCAGACTGCAATACTGAAATATGAGCAAAGTTAAATTGTCGAGACAGAAGGGGAATGAAGGCACCAATGACCTGGAAACTGGCAGTTTTGCTGAAAACAAATTTGGCTCCCTTACTAAATTCTGCGCTAAATCTTTCTACAGTTTAATATCAGCATAATCGTAATCTTTCTCCTACTCAACGAAAACCGTGTTCTGCATTAGGTTAACTGAGACATAAAACAACCCTGTATGCTGTTCTTCTTTCGTCTCCAAAACATACCCACCGATATTTTGACATCTGATTAAAAATGTATGTCAGTACACTTTGCCACCCAACATAGTAACTGCATGGTTGAAACGATGAGGATATTAGTAGAGTTTGATGCATTGTGCTTGTCGAAAATTTCGGTTTGGCCAACGATTCAAGCAGACCTCAACCTGAACCAAACCCAGATCTTCCTTTAACTTAACTCACAATTAACTAAGCATCCTCTTCAATATCTTTGCAGCTTACTGACAACCATTTTGATGATTACAGTTTTATTTAGCCGGCTTATCTGAATTACTTTTTGTGTATGTTCCAAAAGCATTGTTGCCTTTGTCCCCGTGGATCACCATTATTTAACCCTAGTGAAGTATGTTAACCACTGTGACTTCAGGTGGTGGCAGCTGAGGGGAACCTGTGTTGAATGAAATAATGATGAATTCTGATCAAACTTTGGTCTTTCTTGTACATTTTTTATACTGTAATCAAAAGAAGTATATGTATGGCAAGGCGTTTTTAATTCCGCTTCTTATTCTTCTCGATATTTCAGGGCAAATCAGTCTACAATCAGGTGATCGAGACATGCGGCTTCAAACGTGTAAGTTAACAAAAATCAAAAACTCAAAATAACATTTAAGAGTAAATGTGATTCAGTGAAGGGACTCTTTTCAGCGGGGAACTCACTGTCAAACCGAACAGTCACATGTATAAACGATATTCTCGGGAAACTATGCAGGCTGCATCAAGAAGTTTAAACACCACACATTGCTGAAATCAGAGATTTACTCAGTCTCAGCTGAAATTTCACCACGATTTCCTTAAGAAATAGAAATTGATAGGATCATAAGAAATATGCGATCTGCTCAATATCATGAATGGTATTCAAAGCAGATGCATCGCCGATGATTCTGGCCACATCACTTCAATATGGCCAGCAAGCACTACAGATCGATGTTTAGGGTATGCAACTGCTCATTTCAATTGATCAGTATTATGTGGTGCAATGCAGAAAAGTATGAATGAAAATATTAACAAATAATAATGTGAAATGCGATAACCATTTTGTGATTATCAGTCACAGGTTAGTATCAAGTGATAGAACAAGTAATGTAGTAGTGGTAGTAGTAGTGTGTGTATTAGTTCTCAGAATGCATAAATCTTTGAAAGCGATTAATGAGATTATTAGGCAAATGAAAAGATAACGCAACAGGTTGAGGAGTTTTCCACGATGAACTACAACACTTCTATAAAAATATACGTTGACTTGAAGTTATAACGGGTGACAAGTAGAACAATGCTTGGAAGCTGAAAATACAAAAGTGATAACAGTTGTAAGAATAAGGAAAAGCTACAGAGGTCATCCTTCCAAGTAAAAGATTGAAACATGCACTGAACATACTTCTTTCACATACGGAACCATGGCTGGAAATTCATCAGGGGTCAAGGACTCCACTGTCATTAGAAGTTTGCAGCCAAGGAAATGGCGGCAATTTAGCATTAATTTGATAGATCATATTGAAATCAATGTCACTCGGGGTTGGTTGGGTGAGAGGAGTCGATCAGGTGTCCCGCTCATACCCTTCTGTCCACCCTATAAAATCAGGCTGGAATCTTCCTCGTATTCATGTGCAGAACTCATAATTTTGCTGGTGGTGGTGAGTTTTGTTTCACAAAACCAGGTGAACTGATAGATGTACTGGGAGGAGTACATATATTCGTTATTTCCACCTTAGCTATGAAATACAAAGTTAGGGTGGCGTCATTACTTCCTGGCTATGATCACTTTGAACAGTTTCTGCGTTTCATTTCACTCACTCTCCTAGATTAGTTAATAATCCATTGTATTCTTCGAAATGTTAAACTCTATCCTACTGAAATTCACACATCCTGTTACGTAGTATTCACATTTGCCTACTTATCATACTAATTCCACATTCCTCTCCCAGGATGAAGTATTTGGTGTCTTACACTCTCTGTTTTATTGCTTCATTGAAATCACTGATATTTCATCGTTACTCACACTACACTCAATAATAATAATATAAATGATATCACCAGTGTGGCCATTGCTTGAATGGAGCTCGAACGGGAAGTGGGACAGAAGTAGGGCGTGGGTTCGAGGTTGACATTCAGTATGTTATTTGTTGATGAGGAATTGAAACCTTGTCAGCAGTCGTGGAGTTGACTGAAAATAACTGAGGAAAAGGGAATTAGGTATTGATGTGCTCCAGATGATGCTCCTTAATTTATTCTAAACTCAAGAGACTAATACTGAGTATTCAAATCTATACAGGTACTTTAACAATATATAAGTCTACATAGGATTATACTCATTGATAATAAATTCATTGGGAAAGGAGTCTCGTCGTTAACCACTCCTGACTTACGTGTTACTTACAATGGGAGTTATTGTATACTATTAGAGAGTAATCACCTGAAATTTTAGATGTTCGATGTGAAATTCAACATTATACGAAAATCAATCAGCCAGCGAAGTATAGACGTGAGTTTGTTTAATTTCGATTTTTTTCCAATAAAAACAGGCCATTGTAGGAAAGGTGACTTCCTAGTCAGTTTTCTAAATCTCATTCATGTCAGTTGCTGACTCATCCCCTATTAGTTCCTCCGTGTTTGCATCTCATTATCTATAACTGCATATGCTTTACATACGCGCGTTTCCAGAGATGATGAATGTCTGGTTAAATTGAACTATGACAGACACCGGATAATCTTGAGCAAACAATCCAATTAAAGGATTACGAAACAGCTGAGGTTTTGTTGACGAACCGTGTATTAAAATAGTCGCACTTCTTTTCAGTGTCAGACGATTCTGCTTCACCTCTTACCCCTACTCCTCACACTAACGCAACTGTTTACTCTAATTTCTAACTCTAATCTAAACCATAACCACTAATCTTATCTCCAGTATAACCCTTGTTCATAACCCTCAACTTCAAAATAACCCTGAACGCTCGCTTCAAAAACCGAGATAACAATTTAACTCCTAAATTTAGTCTGCATTTTAAGCCTTTGCTTCATTCACCTTCTTCCTCATTCCTACTCTAATCTTAGACTGAAGTCTGACTCCATGGCCTAATAGAACTTTTCGCTCATACTTCTAACCCCGATATTACTGTTTTCCTTAACACCAGATGTTAAGAGTAGATAAATCAGATCAAGAGGAAGCTCTTGACGCAAGACTCACACCACATTCATGACTTGTGGGAAATGACTGTTTGCACAACGTCTTTTGATGGCTGTAATGTTTCTTCGCCTATTGTAGTCACGAAGTACTAACGGCTTTCGAATCCCGAGAGTTAGAGAACAAGGGATCATATGCATATAATTATACATACTTGCAGGGTGAGAAGAGAGTTAATTTGTTTCTAATTCCTTAGCTGATTGATGCTTGAGTGGTAGTGAACATATCACATCAGTCGATCGAGCAACCAATCCGTAGTATACAGTATCATGCAGTTATGGACGATTTCTCGATCGCTATGAAGTGAAGTAGATGACATGTTGTGAAGTCCTCGCCTGAGTTACTTCATTTTCCAAAAGAAACTGTAGCGGGAAAATTCACCTCGTCACACTCTGTACATTTGAAACTGCGAACCGGATGAAATGTATTACCAGCTCGCCCAAGTAGCAACCAGTCTGAGATCAACTAGTATGGACTAATATGGCTCTCTGAGTTGAACAAAACCATGTGGACTGCTCTGACATGCTTGGTTTCAGATGATCGAAATAGCCATCCAGTGATCTGGTGAGCTGACAAGTACTGCTGATTCATTTATTACTGGCATCCAAATAGTTACATGATAACGTGTTTACTTCATTCTACTGGATATATTAATTTGTACTTGATCTCGTTCAGAAATTCCTATTCGTATTCTTGCTAGAAAAAACCATCGTTACTACTTATGCTAAAGCGTTCCCTTTCACTCTTTCAAACATTTCAGGCGTTATAGAAGCTATCGAAAGTATGACAAGCAAATATGGTAAGTTATCAGATAGCTGAATTTAATCTTGCTTTTCTTCACAATTTAGCATTATTGTGCCGTGAAAATTCAACCCTATGTGGGTGGACTGGACATATGCATTGTGAATGTCTTCCAAAAGTAATTCGGGACGATAGTCTGCCGATTATTCATACCACACGTTGAGTGATGCGTAAAACCCGAACACACAAGATTGGTCTTATCTACAGTATTATATTAAACATAAGGTATATGGGACACAATATACACACCTCACATATGAGGTGTGTATGTATGTGGCTGAATAGAGTCACAGAGCACAGTCAATGTGCGTCAATAATTAAAAATAACAGAGCTGTGTCAAAGGCGATTTAAGTGTTCTTTAAACAGCACGCGGATGCCAGACACGGAATAAAGGGATACGAATGGACAATGTTCAACTCTAACGGGTGCATGACTAAACCATATGCAGTAGATAACGTTCAACTATAACAAAATAACTACGATGCATCAAATGAAGCATAAAACATCCCGATAGTTCAACTCCAATAGCAAATGATGTTGTTTTCAAAAGAAAGAACAACAAAGGACAGATGAGGGGGCATACAAGTGCTATTATACACCATGCAGGCAATCACGTGGAACCTGGATAAGGAATAAAAAGTAAAGTGCGATTCCGAGGATGGCATAGAGACGATCGTGCGATGAAGAGGATGATATGGAAACCTGCACACGAGAAATCGAAGATTCAACTGAAAATGACTGCGAAAAACTCACGTCCTTTGAGTGACATCATGCACCATTCAGGCTGTTCAGTGGTACTCGAATAAGGAGCGACGTGTTGGCCATGGCTTCGAGGCTGGCATGGGAATATTGTGTGAGATGGAGGAAATGAAAGCTAATGAGAAATCGTTAAAAAATGGACCGTTAAAAATGGACTGCACTGAAATGAGTGAAATGGGTATATGTCCTGCTGAGGCTCAATGTTCCACCGAAAACACTAGAAATGAATTACTGATAACAATAATAACACTAGCAATGTCTTGACTGTAACATTTTCAAATGACCTTTTACACTTTAACAATCAAAATCCTTCCTGATTATTTGTTAGGAATACTACATAGAAAATACACCACAAATGTTAACCAGTATAAAGATTTACTACGTCAACATGAAAGTAAGTTGACCATCTGTTATCTTATATACTTCAATTATAAACTCAACTAAACATGTATTCAGTTCTCACTGAGAAGGGTAGAGAATATAGAAACACCAATGGTAAGGCAGTAAACAATTATACCCTAACATTCCACACAGCCTTACTAATCGTCAAGTATGCGAAACAATTTTTCCCCTATAAGAATTGTTCCGATGTGACACAGGGAGTATTGAGTGGCCGTTTCCTTCACTCATCCCTTGTTTGAGGCTCCTCAGCAGTACTCAACTATGACGCCACCACCGGAAATCGAAGCCGTAATCTCCCCGTCACAAGACCAACATCGTAGTCCTTCAACTAGTGGGATGGAATCCAATTACCAGTCTATGAATTTTAACTTTTACGATTTACGATTTTAAGCGCAACTGTCAGTATTTGTCAATGGAGAATATTCATTCTCACACCAGAAAACGTGGTCTACACCAATGGTCACAATTTTTAACCAGGACTTTAGAAAACATCCTTAATAACAAATTCGTGGAAGAAGTCTCTTTCTGAATGATATTTTTGTCTTCTAAATGTTGATGAAGGATGATTTCTTGAATGCCTCGAATTTCGTTAGAACTTCTCCTCAGTTGAATACTATGCATACAGTGATATGTTTACAACCTACTAGAAATACACTGGAAGATGCATGTGACTGATGAGTAAACGAGCTACAATGATGAATTAGTCAACTGCGAAACACGACAGGTGTGAATGGTTTACAGGTGGAGTTCAGATAGATAAGCGCAAGGGAGGATATTACAGATAAAATTCAAGACCATAATGGATTACAGTTCAGTCATATCACTGTAATCACTGTAAATAATAAATAATGATCTGCAGAAACCCAAAGGACAAGATTCCGCACATGACTACTTCTATGTGTATATATCAGTTCACCTGTTGCTGTGGAGCCAGGTACATCGGTCGTTCAACGCACATTCTGCCAAAAAGGGTCAAAGAACACTATCCAGCGTGGCTACAGAAAGGAAATAATGGCCATAAAAGGAGTGCAATAATCGAACATCTCATCAACACTGGTCATTCCATCTCAACGAACGCCTCCTTCAAAGTAATCTACAAAGTGAAGAACAACCTTCCAAAGACAGTACGATTCCGTCTTCTTTGTATCGCAGAAGCCCTAGCCATCCAGTTGGTGGAACCAGAACTATGCATACAAAAGAAAATTATCCAACCACTTCTACTCGCATGGTAACAGCTCTGTTGATTTGACCTAACTTTTCTTTGTTTGTTTGATTTGACCTTACTTCTGTTTGTATGCTTATTTTTCTAACTTAAAACCCTTGTGTAATTCTGTATATTATTTGTTTCCATGTACACCCTTTGAGCACAACTCATTCATCAAACTATTCATGCCATTACGTAACTCTTATTTAACAATCATTTATGACAACTCATCACTTTTGTTGCTATCCTCTTATCAACATCCAATTCATCTGAACTTACTAATTGTATTTTCGTTTGACAAATTTAATGTATACACACACACACACACAAAATGACCATATATATTTGCGATTGTACAGCTATGAAAATGAATTCGCCGAAAAGAGACTCTTCGCTGAACTACTTGTCTTCTGAATGTCAGAAATCTCAAACTGGACAAAAATAATAATACTACTGATAATCATAATAATGATAAGACAAAAGGATTAGGCGAAGAAATATTTACTTCCCAGTTAGATCCTCATCTCTGGCTCTACTCATATATATAAAACACTTTAAGTACATACAATACAAAATGAATTTACCAATCTTGTGGCGATAAATTTGTTACCTATAATCAGTCGATATCACCACGCCAATAAAATCGATACTGTCAATTACAGGGTAGAAATGTTTGCACCAATTGATTGCATAATGCATAACTTAGGAGGAAATACAGAGTGATTTAGCAATAAGAGGGTGTTGAATTTGTTCACGTGATAAGCAATCAAAGATGAAGGAATCGGAAAATAAGATAATTTCCACAATGACAACTTGTAAACAGCTTAGAGGGAGGCAGGCTGAATTCTCAGAGCCTTACATTCATGTAATGATATCCATGGAAAGAAGAGTGGCTGCACGAATGTCTTCTGGACACACAGGTTTGGCGTGTTTAGGTGGACCTCAGAGGATTCAGCTGTATGCGAAAGAGAAACTCTTCGAGCAGAAGTGACATTTGTTTGAATAACTTTCAATGCTTTATTAGCATCAACTTTATGCCCACTATCTTCAAGGTGTTCTAAAATAGAACTACGAATGTATCTTGTTTGTCCTTTGCCCAACCATGCAGGATGATACCGGAAATACGACTGTCAACCTTTCTCATTTTATGCAGCAGCTGCATCGGCAGCAACAGCACTTAATCCGATGAATACACATAGAGGAGACGGAGAAATTGGATAGGATATATTATTCTTATTTGTCAAACATAGAGCCGGAGTCGTATTGAAGAGACAACGTACATACGATGCACTGAATGCTTTTTCCACTGCACTCTTCAAGCTCTGTGTTACTTTACTACTCCACTGGTATCACCTAGTAACTGCAGTTTTATGAACAAGGGCTTTCTTCGAGCTGACGCCACACTCACACTTCTGGGTGCTGAATTCATGTTTTGTTTCAATGAATTTATCTGGATAAACATTTTTAAAAAGTGATTCGCTGGTGATGTTAAGCTGCTCACTGAGAGAGTGGTTTGAGCAGATTATCCTAGCTCTATCAACCAATTAATAAAACGAGCCAAGAAGGAGGTACTGATAAAAGATAGTTCTCTTTGATATGGAAATAATTGTAATAACAGATGGAATACGTGGAAGATGTTGTCGTGCTGGATCGAAAGACATCCGTATTTCCCACTGTACATAGACACATGATTTATTGACGCTAATTTTACAAAAACGAAGCACGTATCTGTTTATTTATCTGTTCACATGAGTGGATGACTTCACAGAATATCAGTATCATGTCCATATTCTAAAAGATGCTTTATCATCAAAATTCTTGGCGTCCTGACTTCATTCAGCTTCTTTTCAATCGCTTGGACGAATGCTTCACTATGCGAACTAGACACAGTCACCTTTCTGTATGTATTTATTTACTTGAACAAACACACCCATACCAATGTATACAGGCCTTCTCAGATCGTTGCACCACCCGTTTGATTGGTGTTGAGGGATGCAAGCTTAGCCGCATGATGAGTTCTTCCTATGCAATTATGCAGTCTTCACTTAAAACAGTTTCCTGTATGTCATATACTCTAAATGTCAGACTAATATATAGAGCCTCCTTTCAGACTGTTCAACTTCTACTTCCTTAAATTACCGATACATTAACTAATCCAATCATAAATAAAATAAATCCTTCAGCCACCTTATCTGATATTCAATTATACTGTCAGTACAGATGTCCTATGTTCTATTGAACGGTGTTCTCACTAGACGCTATCTCTACTGGATTGGAATAAAGCTCTTAATGTGTAGATAAAAGTTCCCACAAACGAAGACAGACAGTGCTGCTTTATAATCACAGTAATATTCCAGTGTACATCTTAGATTATGTCTGACTGTCCAACTGACTGTCTGACTGACTCACTGCGTTTCAACAGAGAACTACTATAATAGAAAAGATTTGTAACTCAGGTGGATGATTTGGAATTGAGAGAACTACTATGCTATGCAGAAGTCCAGTCACAGTTCACGTCGCCATAATTTCCATGTATCACACGACGAGGAAGAGAGAGAAAGAGCAATGCGTAAAGGAAACTCAAAAGAACTACAGTGAGCAGAAACTTGAATTGAGAAAGAATAGTGATGTGGAAAAACAAGAGAATATAACAGATAGCAGTTTCATGTTCTTGACGTCTTGATAGAAGTCCACACCTCACAATGAAACTGTTCTACACAAACCGTCAATCGTACTTTAAGCTGTGTTCCGTTCCGATCAACTCTAATTCTCTTCCTGCTTAGTCCTATGTTGGCTAACATTTCTCATCGAGGAAGGCCATGGGTTAACATTCGCCACACGTTTTTTTACCATCTGGATCAATCTAGGTCATTCACAACTTCATTCATTCACTTACTCGCCTTATCTCTAAGATTGTACACCTAAACATCTCCATAAGACCCATCATATACTACCACTTAACATGGTAGACACAGTGTGAACATCTTTGGTGAGAGACAGTTAGTCTTTTCATATCCTCCACTTTCAGTGTCCCCTTCCCACTCACAAACATCCGACTATATTTCATGTTATTCAAACACTGTTATCTTTTGATATTTACTGTTACTACTGTTTTCTCTTGCATGAACAGATGAAATAAGGAATACTGAAAGGAACGTGAGTAGTGCTGTTACACAACCATCTACAGAACAACAAGGTATTTCAAATAATATTGTTAATTATTTCACTTTTTTATATTTGACGAGAACATCGCGCTGTGTGTTGTTGTGTCCTCTGAACTCAATGCTAATCTAATTACGATGCTTTCGTTGTCATTTCAGGCAATATGGCTCCAGTTCAGACTACGATAGAATGGCTGAACTTATCAGAACTCCTCTTACATGAATGATTTAACTGTATCGTGTCTTACGCTTAAGTGCATGACGATGTATGCCACTGACAGACTGATATGCTAAGCAGCGCATCAAACAGAAGTGATCTAAACACTTGACAGGTGTATTCAATCCTTTTGGTCCCAGCTAATCCCTAAGGTGTACATGGTTTGACCTAGTTCAAAGAGAGATGAATTAGTTTACAGCACCAGAATTCTGGCAGACTGTTTACTTGGCTTGACTGCAGAAATAAATATGCATATATGTACACATATATTCAAAATTCATAATTCATCAGTGAATTTCCATCATGTCAATCGTCAGATATCATTGAATTACAAGTCACAGGAGACTCTGACATGTCAACAGAGACACAGAACTTCAATGCGATATGGAAAATCAATCGAAAGGGGGAAATAGAAAGTCTAATAAATATGCCCATATGAAATTTTAAAACACTGAATAATTGAACAATGAATGAACTTCACCTTCATGACATTCTTTTTATACCCACATACTAATTGAGGCACTCATTGGTGCTTGAAAATAACATTGTGTTTTCGCCCAAAATAACACCGAAGATAGAACTTCTTATTAGTGTAGAGATGAATCCGACTATGAAGCAACGTGACCAGCGAGAAACACTGTCACCGACAGGAAACTAGCAAAAGATCGGCTCTTTCAATTACCTAGACTGGTAGTGTTGTTACAACTTTAATTCGCACGGAAGAGTATGTCACAGCCAGTAGGCGAGGATTAGAAAAGCAAGGCATATCCTCATTACCCTGAAATCAGATTCAAACGAACAACAGAATTCCGAAATTCAAATCCAACGTCAATTTTGTGTTGCTATTTAGTTCAGAGACTTGACAGATGAGTCACCAGAAGCATTTCCAACAGGCCACTGCAGACTGTCTTCAACAGATGCCCACGCTCCACACTCAAGACAAAATGGTCGACCTGAAAATACTAACGAGAAGGAACGAACCAACAACGTTCGCGTGGCAAATATGATGGAAGAAGTGGATTCAACATACTCTGAGGACACCACTAAATGACATCGCGTGGAGGTCATTGCTTGAGTGGGACCCGGACATCAGACAATTGGTTGGATGTGTGTCGGATAGTGACATGGATGAAATCATTTCGGGCTAAATGTATCAGTAATACTCACCAAGTTGTAACGTTTAACACGTGAAGATCTGTGGTCAAAGACAGCTAGCCACTGTGTACATAATCACACCTGTGATGAAGGAGAGAATTAACGACTGCTGCAGTTAATTCGTGTCATTAATCCCAACTTATAGTTTGATATGTATTGTTATCATTGTTTTTACAAATGATCAGATGACGTAAAGCGTATTGAAACATGCATGAGGAGTGTTGTTACACAACCATCTGGAGACACAAGGCGTATTTCCACAACTATCGTTTTCACTCACAATTTTCGCTTTCTAAACTCTTGTCTCGTTTTCGACAGCCATCACATGTGAGATTCACACTGTCACGATACGAAAGTTTCGGTGAGCTTGTGCCTCCTGAGAGGCTGTGTGATGATTCAATTAAGAAGCAGTTTTCATTGACCACCATCCACACAACAACTTCACATCAAACTGCGATTTGAAGTGTGAAATTGTCTGATTTCCTTCCCCATGAATGATATGATTGTATCACCTGGCAACCTTTGTTCTGAGTTTTCGGTTATTTGCACTAGTGTTCATCCTCTTCATTGACTAGAAAGTTGACTTCTCCGTCATGTGAACTTGTTCTTTATGAGTTGATAAATTTGATCGACAGTGATGTGTCTCCTTGGATAGTTGATCTGTCTTAGTACAAACCAGACGTCGAGGACTTCACTAGCATTTGTTTGGTGCTTCCATTGTTTAAAATGTGTTCATTCTATTAGTCAAATTAATGTCTATATTAGATGTCTGCATGCATCGATATGAAACAGGAAGACGTGTCGTGTCTTCTCACACCTAAATTATATTCTGGGAGTTGAAGTTGTAAACATTCAGTGGCATATCTGCAACGTCAAAGGTGCTAACATTTCCACTCATACTGAGGAGTTTCTTTACTCACATCACCAAATGCATGATTTTTGAACGGTATCACTGTGTTACTTGAGACCAGTAGTGTGGATTAAACAACCCGTGTTTAAGAGATCCCCATTTCTGCAACTAACTCAATGGAAAATATTCTAAAATGGTAGTTCAACCTCCTTCTATACCGAGATGAAATTTCATCCCAGTTTACTTTGAAATTTGATTGATTTGGACTGATCAAATTGTCTCATTTGAATCATTTACCAAATACACGGCAATAATGACATTCATCATAAACAAGCAGAACGCTCTCTTGTTGATATTGGTCACTATGTCCTTCTGCTTGATGTGTGAGTGATGTCCGACTAGTAGATTCATTCCATCAGCCCTTCATAGACTCAAGCCCTGATGCTTCTCTTCCCAAATGCCATTAATGTCATATCAAAACGATCACCAATATTGGGTTTACAAATGGCACTGTAAAGGAATCTCATCAGAATTCCAAAAGTAATTCACAGTACATAAAAGTGAATGTATGTGTATGCAGTGAGGATGAATGCTCATGATTAACGTTCACATCCGATGGTTGGTTATTCAGAATGATAATAGAGTGCATAGGACGACGAACGGTAATATTGGAACAGTAAGTGGAGAAAATGTGTGCACAAGATATGGAGTAATGCAGTAGTAATCAGTTGACAGATTTCATTGCCGCTAAGGATAGCCGACCTGTCAGAATCCGCTCCAACTTGTTCGAAATGCTTTCTGTGTCGTGCGAAGACTATGAACCACCCAGAACTATTCGCTGACTTGACACAAGTGATGGAAATCAGGATTCGGTTATTTGTTCTGAGTCCTCATGAATAATTCACTGAATTCAGAGTATAGTTGTTCTTATTCAAATTCAGTAGTTAAATTAATTGTGTGAGTTGTTGATACGTACGGTCAATGTTAGAGGAAACTGTCGTCTATTTGACGCAGTGAAACAAATCCACATGCCTATGCCTGATATTGGTGCGGATGAAGTAAACTTCACTGATGATGGTACCCTACGATGACACTGTTGAGGAAGCGATGCGAATATACCACTCAATCTAAATTATCACACTACGTGACTGTAAATCAAGAATGAGATTTGATGACGTACACAGCAAAGCGGTATACCAGATTATGTGATAGACAGTGGGTAGCAGAAAACAGGCATAAATTGGATCCACAGAAAGCAACTGAAGGATCTGGAGTTCGCTGATGTTATATGTCCTATTTCTCACAAACTGGAAGATATGCAAATGAACAGCATTAAGTTGACAGAGGAAGCATCCAGAGAGGACAGGACTTCAGGTGAACATAGATAAAACAGACGCAGGTGATGAAGATGTCTGGCCAACAGCAACAATAATGGACAACAATTAGCATAAATTGGAGAAATCCGGAAGAAGGAACCTCCTTTAACTATCTACCGACCTGGTGAGCATCGTTTCAACTGCGAGCGAAAATGAAGAGGATATCAAAGTTAGGATCAGTAAAGCAAGGGAATGTTTCATTTCTCTCAAGTCTGAGTGAAGGTGAACAGTACTCAGTATGAAAAATAAGATCCGGATCTTCAAATCCAATTATATGTCAGTGCTACTTAACAGACGGATCGGAGACTTGGCGTGGTATCACGAAGGGCATTTAGAACAAACTACAGACTTTCATGAACAGCTGTCTTCGCTCAATACTGCTCAAGGTCAGATGGCCTGCCAGAATAGTTCAGCAATAGTGAGGGATCTCTGGAAGCGAACCAACCTCCCATGCACCGATTGTGCAACAAATATGCAGGAAGAAATGGAGAGGGACTGGCTATACTCTAAGGAAACCGTCAATCCACATCACATGGCAGGCCATCGTTGGAGTGGAACCCGAACAGGAAGCGACGAGTTGGTAGTCAGTGTAAGGGTGGTGTTAGATAGAGGTGGTCCTGTGAAGAGGAGATGAAAGCATGTGAGCAGATATGGAATCAAGTGGAAACGTTAGAAGTTCCACTAGGAACAAAAATAAGTAATAATATAATAAAAAAATATATAATTAGCACATATAGTAACAAAATTGATGTCTTCCCGTATAGACAGGAATATATATATACTATTATAATTTAATTTTATGTGTGCAATGTGAATAGTATTCCTAATGACGTTAATTCTCAATGTGATTATTTCCATTTCTCTTCATTCTTTGTATTTTCGATTGAACGGGAACTCGACGTAATCACTCAGGTGATTCCACTGTCATTTCAAGCCGAAGGAGACCTGGTAATACAATATATATATATATATATAATATTAAAATGTATGACTGTGGATAGAAATATCAGGTATTTGTTGATACGCCGCCTTTCAGTATGAATTCGATCTATGTTTAATTATTATTAATCACTAAAAAGGCGTTAGCAGCAGATTTTCACTTCACCCTGTTCGCTGAGTTTATTTTTGGCAGCTCCAAGATTGACAACGAGCCTCGATGTTCTCCAGCTAACATGATCACCTACATGTCATTTTAGACCTGAAGATCAATTCGTTGTCACGCATTTCGATTCTAATCGATGTCTTGCAGATTAGGCGATACTGCTTAACAGTCTCCTGAGCAGTATTCAATCCATTCATTCATCCATCTCCATTTACCTCCACATGTTTTTCAGCCAACATTCTCTTGGTGAATTCGTCACAGTAGTTGATAGTCAATTATTATTCCTAACTGACCAACCGATCTCCAATGTCGAACGAAAGTACCCGTTGACGGAAGTATCCAACTTGTTGGAAATGCTTTCTGTGACGTGCGAAGACTATGAACCACCCAGAACTATTCACTGACTTGACACAAGTGATGGAAATCAGGATTCGGTTATTTGTGCTGAGACTTTAGATTTCTTCATCGACTTAAGAGTATGGTTGTTTGTATTCAAATTCACTATTTAAATTAATTGTATAAACTGTTGTTACGTCACCATACTACGTGACTGCAAATCAAGAGTGAGATTTGATAACGTTTACAGGAAAGCCATAAAGGAGAATTAACTTCAAGCTCAATTTTTTCCCTAGTACTTCTGATCCATCCAGCACAGTTTTCTCTTTTTGTTAATGAGAAGACAGTATCTCTTTATTTCCTCGTGTTATACATTGACTGACAAGTTGGCAGATTGTTCTCACTGACTAAAGTCGACAAGAACAACACTGATGTAAACTCAGCATAAACCTAATATATATGTCATGCCTGTACAATGTCTATCTTCCTGTATGGACAGGAATATATATATACTATTATAATTTAATTTTATGTGTTCAATGTGAGTAGCATTCCTAATGACGTTAATTTCAATGTGTTTATTTCCATTTCTCTTCATTCCTTGTATTTCCGATTGAACAGGAGCTCGACGCAATCGCTCATGTGTCTACAGTGTAATTTCAAGCCAAAGACCAGGTAGTACAAACAGTATATATATATATATATATATATATAAATATTTTTTTGTATGAATGTGGATAGAAATATCAGGTATTTGTTGATATGCGGTCTCCCAGTAAAAAGATCGATCTATGCTAAATTATTATTCATCACTAATAAGGCGTTAGCAGCAAATTTTCACTTCACCCTGTTCGCTGAAGTTATTTTTAGCTGCATATTACTTAATCTCAGATTCCATTGCAGCTAAGGATAGCGAAACTGTCTGAACCTGCTACTTTCCTACACAGAACTCCTGCAATTTAAGGTGAATTGCACTGGGTATTCAGTAATTAGTGGCTTTTGATCATCTGTTCGATACTTGATAGACGACAGAAAAGTATTCTTCAGTGTGCTGGCTTTGTGACCTGCATGGACCAGGTAATCTACTATCGAAATGTTGACACTTTTAATCAGACCCTTGTCTATGCAAACTTCTCAGGGTTCTGTGTAACGTAAAATCAAGTTCCAGGAGCGAGTGCAGATAATACTGCCACTACAGGAACAGTTGGATTGATAAATAATTAGTCAAGGCACTTCGGCGTCCCCATTTCGCTTCCATTCGATGTCGTGCAGATTAGATGATACTGCTTAACAGTCTCCTGAGCAGTATTCAATCCATTCATTCATCCATCTCCATTTACCTCCACATGTTTTTCAGCCAACATTCTCTTGGTGAATTCGTCACAGTAGTTGATAGTCAATTATTATTCCTAACTGACCAACCGATCTCCAATGTCGAACGAAAGTACCCGTTGACGGAAGTATCCAACTTGTTGGAAATGCTTTCTGTGACGTGCGAAGACTATGAACCACCCAGAACTATTCACTGACTTGACACAAGTGATGGAAATCAGGATTCGGTTATTTGTGCTGAGTCCTCATGAATACTTCACTGGCTTCAGAGTATAGTTTTCTTTTTCAAATTCACTGGTTAAATTTATTGTATGAGCTGTTAATAAATGTACATCTTGTGTATTTCTCCTAATATTGTGAAGTTTCAATTGGTTTTTTTCAATTTCTCTTCTTTCCTTTTATTTTCATTTCACCAGAAACTCCAACTCGTCGTTCATGTGTCTTCACTGTAATTTCAAGCCAACAGGGTTCAGGTAATCCAAAAAGTGTATATATATATATATATATATATATATATATATATTCTTCATTGTGGGTATAAATATTTATTACGAATGCTTCCGTGATGCCTGTATATTGACACGATGTTATTTGATGGTCCTTAGTAGCCAGAAGTATGTCATCGACTGCTTCCTGACGAATTCTTACCATTCCCGTCAATTTGCTGTTCCTTCGTCTCAGTCTTCATACTATCAACAGCTGTCCTTCGATTCCATTCATGGATTCCTAATCATATGAATTTTATCGTCTGGAATGTGCTAGATTTAATCAATGTGCAACACCTAATTGAGAAATTTTAATTGAGAAGTTTCAACGCACCCTCATTCTAACAGAAGCTACGCTCGGTATGCACTTTCACCTATTCATCCAACCTTTTGCTAACTAAATGCCTTCGATGGTTTACAGCGTCGAATTGAATTTCTTGATGACGACCAAACTTTCCCAAGAGTTTCTTATCACCTTATATGTTATTTTGTCAAGTCATTCATCTAGGAAAATTATAGATACATCATCTTTGTTCATTGGACCATAATGCAAATCGCTTGAATTAAATTTGCACTTTGAAGCAGACAGCGATGACAAAACAAGATGAAGCTGACTCGAAGTCTAATAGAACGCCGCAACCAGTATGGTCCAAGTTGATTGTGAGGACAATGACTCGTCGATCACACTGGCTGGTGTTATTGCACTATATTTCGAAAATTGACACAAGTTAGGATTTACGCTCCATTGGCTTCCTTTTGACTGACTGCATGACCAGCAAGCGCGCCATGTAACCTGAAGGTCCTGTGTCTGACCCGTAGTGGAATCACAGGACGAAACAGCTGTCCAGTACTCCATGATTTTCAAAATATATTTTGATCTACGTTGTGCTGCTATTCTACGCTTGGTTCACATTAACAACCATCTTTTCATTCTTGATTCGATAGGTAGTCCAAATATTCAGCCTAACGCTATTGTCAATCCAGATACAACAACAGCTCAACCAATGACAACACCACAAGGTATTTAAAAATCGAAAGTACTAATAATAATAGTGAGAGATTTACTCCAAGCAGGACTTTTCATACAATGTGGAATTTCAGCATGTAATACGATGTCGCATCCAAGTTTGTTTTTACATCACACTACACTGTAGGGGGAAAATAAATAACAGAAACACTTGCCGTAATAATAATGTCAGTGAAAATATAAATGTGAGGTCAAAATTAAAAGTCCATAGAAAAAAACGATGAGAATATATTTGTAACTGGAGAAACAAAAAGGCCTGTTAGTTAGTAATTTCATGTCTTACGATCTACTCATCACCTCAAATATGTCCACTGAGTAAGAAGATACACAAGGCTGATTGACACGGAGGCAAAAGATTCATTCTTCCCTGAAAATGGCTACATAACTAGAGATCACTTTGTGAATACCTGTCATACAGCAGTAGTTCAGAGAAGTAGATCTCTTTGACAATCTTATTTACTTCATCATCAGTCCAATCGTATTTTCTTATCATAAACCTGGAGAGCAAATCAAAATGATGAGTTGTCATAATTACAGTTGCGAATACTATCGATCAATGCACACGAGGAGTTGGAAAAGAGTATTTCAGCCACGTATCACGACTAGGAATTGAATGAATGACTTGTGATCAGGATGCAGGTAGCGACGAGAAAAAGATGTGATATGACCTAAGAGTTCGAGAGAAATAGAAGACTCAGATGTGGTAAAGAACAGGCAAAATTAATCAAGTTGGTTGATAATAACTGCATCACTACCATGATGAGGGAAGTGCTAGGATAATTCGTTTTCATAAGCAGAGCTGCTAATTTCCCTACTTGAGTGCCTAGAGCTTCAACAATGCAAAGAATACTAAAGGGTGTTATCAACAACAGGTTGCTACTGCTACTTTGCTGATTCCATGAAGGTTAGTGAGTGTTCTTGAACTCTTTGAGACAGGATACGCCCTGAATGACCAATGTACCTGACTCCGTATCAGCAGGCATATTGCTCATCTTATTTACTAACCAGAAAAAACTTTGTTCTACTCATCTTACGCATCAATTATTATTGACACTTCTGATTATGACAACTCATTTTTTAGCTTACCAACTGAAACTCCCTTGAAAGAAAAGAAGAAAATTGTACATAAGTGCAACTGTTCAGCTGAGTGGAATGAATTCATTGAAAACAAGCTGTTGACTGAACATCTCCCTTTACTTTTCCAGTTGATTTGAATATGCTGCATTCATGTTGTCAAATATCACATTTAGGTGTTTTACATGCGGTCTATCAATTAATAATACACAGCTAGAATATATATGGTTGCGCTTGCTGCATAAATTCATGCGTTCTCATGCGTGTCTCGCCATGTCGTTTATCCGCACTCATGAATAATGACACAGATACAACTTTACTTTCATTTCAACATGGTGTTTTCAGCACTTTCTATTATTTTACTCTCTTAATAGATTTCCAGACCACATATCGAAGCAGTCAGTGCAGACATTCTCTACCGACTCAATATGAACAAGGTTTGTTGAACGAGAGCGAGAGAGAGGGAAGATATTTATTTTATTTGCTGTTATTACGTGTGTGTTTCCATGATTATCTGAATCACTCTGATTGCTCTTGATGAATGCTTCACACTGAGTCAATACTATACACTACACTCACAGTAGTTTGCTTTTACTGACGTGTTGTGTAATTACCTGAGTAAAAACCACTGGATCTCCACCGCCTCATCCGAACTGATAGATGCTAGAAGACTTATTCCGGCGAGCTCCGAATTCAATGAGGAGCGAAAGCTGCACAAGAGGAAACTTACGAAAAGTCTCCGCAAGGACCGTGAACAGTGGTGGGCAACAAAAGCCAAAGAGATGGAGAAAGCTTCGAGGATAGGCAACACCAGGCAACTCTTTGGACTCATCAGGGAAACGGGTGGGAGAAGACAAATCATCAGTGAGACAATCTCGGAAAAAAATGGCACTATAATTAGCTCCCAGGATAGACGACTGGATCGTTGGAAAGAGCATTATGAGGAGCAGTTTAATTTGCCCACAGCCACGCTCAACCTTCCGAGCATCCAACACCTCCCTGAATGGGATATAAACACAGGTCCTCCGTCACTAACTGAGGTTACTAAAGCTGTCACCAATCTGAAACTAGGCAAAGCAGCGGGACCTGATGGAATGACTCCAGAGGTATTTAAGTACGGTGGAGACAGTTTACTCTCTCCATTAACTGAGGTACTAGGCAGCGTCTGGGAATCAGAAGAAGTCCCATCGGGTTGGTGTAAGTCACTGATTATCCCCATATACAAGAAGGGAGACAAGTCTTCCTGTGATAATCACAGAGGGATTAGCTTGACTAATATAGTATCTAAAGTCTTAGGCTCAATAATCATGCGTAGACTGAGTGGTGCTCGGGAAGCACAAACACGAGAGAGCCAGGCAGGCTTTAGACCAGGAAGAGGGTGTATTGATCATATCTTCACCCTCCGACAGATTCTAGAACATAGGCATTCCTACCGGCGTCCAACAGTCATTATATTTCTTGACCTAAAGGCAGCATTCGACTCTGTCGATCGGGAAGTTCTCTGGAGATGCTTGGCTGTAAAGGGAATTCCAAGAAAATATATTGCACTGATTAAGGCACTCTATTCGTACTCATACAGCCAGGTGAGGGCTTACGGCGAGCTGTCATCTGAACTGATGACGACCAGTGGTGTCCGTCAAGGATGCCCATTATCTCCTTTTCTATTCAACTTCATCATAGATGTGTTAATGGACTTAACCCTAGGTGACTTCAGTGACTCAGGAATTGACTTGCTACCGGGGAATAATCTCGTTGACTTGGAATATGCAGACGATATAGTCCTTCTAGGCGAAGACGCTGACGAAATGCAGAGTCTTCTAAACACCTTGAGCAGCAATCTACGAATGTTTGGCATGCGATTCGCTCCCGCCAAATGCAAGATGATGTTACAGGACTGGACTACATCGACGCCTAGTTTAAAAATAGGAAGGGAAGTGGTAGAGCACGCTGACCGCTTCACTTATTTGGGAAGTACCATCAGCCCGCCAACAGGTTGATCTCTGACGAAATCTCAGCACGAATACGGAAGGTTCGATTCGCATTTGTTAGTTTACGCCGACTCTGGCGTAGACGAGATGTTCGACTACCGACCAAAGGGCGTATGTACTGCTCATCAGTCCGCTCCGTCCTCCTTTATGGCTGTGAGACCTGGCCACTGAGAGTGGAAGACATGAAAAGACTAGCTGTCTTTCATCATAGGTGCCCGCGTTCTATTTCCCGTGTAAAGTGGCATAATAAGGTGAGCAACATGGAGGTTAGGCGTAGAGTTCTAGGTAAACAGGGGAAATCAATCGACGAAGTCGTGAAGCTACAAAGACTGAGATGGTTAGGACATGTGTTACGTATGCCAAGCCATCGCCTCCCTCGACGAGCTATGTTAGCGGATATAGGGTCAGACTGGAAAAAAGCTAGCGGCGGTCAAACAAAAACTTGGCATCAGTCAATGAAATCCACAACAGTTGGTCTAAGCCATGTAGAAAGGTGTAGACTTCCAGACTGGGGTCCTCGGGACGGTAAAAATCTATGGTTGGAAACAATTGGTGACATGGCTCAAAACCGTTCTCAGTGGCGCAGATGCATCCACTCCTTGTGACTTATGATCTTCAATGAAACTGTTTTGTATTTCTTTATTACTCCTTTGTCTCACACCTTTGCTCACTGTTTCTATTATGCTTTTCTTGTACTCTCTTCTCTTGCTTCGCGTGCTACACGGAATGTGGCGACTTGAACTTCCGCACATTTGTGCAAAGTTCTATGTCGAAAACAGACAGACAGACAGACAGACCTTGATTCTAGTCCGTAAACATGTTCTTACTTCCACTCAGTGTATGAATTAAGCTATCACGCTGTCTGTGCCACTGCCTCCACATGCCCAGTTCCGATCTTATCACCACTGGTTTATCTACATTCTAGACAGGGTGTCGAAGGTTTCTCCATCCAGAATTGGCTTATTTAACAGTCAGTTAGTGAGTGAGTGATTGAGTGTGTGATGAGTGAGGACTGTGAAATGGAAATCTGGATCACTGTAGAATTCTATGCGGAAACTTCTGAATTACTAGTCCACTATGCCACATTCTAAGCTGTGAGATCCAACCGAATCAGAATCATTTCAATGCCATCAACAAAGTTAATGACGCCTCAGTTTTCATAGGAATGAATAACAACATTGCTGGGTAGCTTTTCCGTCCTGCTTCTTTGGGATCGACTCTGAAGCACTGCGTACTCATGGCTCACGTCTCATGACAGATAACTAGGATCAACAAAGACTACGCATCAGATGTTACGAAACATTGTGTCTATTATATGTCCACTGACTGAACAAACTACTTCTCCGGTATGTGGAGTTCAGGATTAAGCACACAGATTGCTGTAGCTTGTGCGGTTTGAAGGAGTTCCACCCACAATCATTTGGCAATACTTTCGCATACTTATTGGATAAAACCATGAAACTGATTTGCGCGTTTGCACGATCAGATGTTCCAGGATAGTACTTCGAGCCGATCCATTTGCATCTTTCGGGAAACCACGAGAACAAGTATTCGATGGTACTTTGCATAGAAACCGCCAAGTGCGGTCAGTATACTTGGCTCTACAGGTGCAGTTGTCTGATCACAACCTGACAACTCTTTCAACCTTAGTTTAGTTAGATTACCTCACTCAACTTACTTATTTAGATTAATTCAATTTCTGCCTGAATGATGCTTGCTGTATTACCTAATTGCTGTGTGAGACTTACGGTTGTAATTGTTACTTAGTTAACTCAGACTTGAATACTTGGTTTGTACACTTCTCAGTGAGCAGTATCAAGCGCTTAATCTCATGTTTGGTGCAGACTGACCTCTGTCGGTTAAGTTTGAAATGTGACCACTATGACAGGTGGCTCACCATCATGGTGCACTCTAAGCTGATTTTATTAGATAGTTGTTGGCAATCGGCAAGGCGAGAAGTTCTACCTGTCCAAGGTTTCGTGCTTGATGGCGTTCATCATCATACCACATCTCAAATCTTGGAAGAGCTCAGGCGTCTTGTGAGATTGAAACCCGTTTCACCCGGAGTTTCAGTCATAGACATAACAACTGGGCTATTCAAGCTCGCCATCGACCTCTTGTGCGAAGGTGTCGAATACTTTGATTGAACACTGGTCAGTAACTAACATCACACATCCAGTAGCTTGTTCGGTAAAGACTGCATTCTATCATACTCGAATGTAAATACTGTAAGTTCACTGTCCGGTATTTTCCTGCTTCGTTATGATCACCGGTATAATAATGCTGTCAATTTGTGGGTTCGACTTTGGAAAGCAATAGGCAACTTGACTGAAAACCAGACATTGCACTAGTAGCTAAAGTAGTCGGCTCTATTCTTACCCTCAAAAATTTGAAGATTGAAACCAGACCATTCAGATGACAACTAATCTCAAATAATATTTGGGAATGATCCTCAACACTAAATAACAACATCGACTGCAAAATGAATTAAAACTCCGAATTCACATTCATCAACTCTGATATATCCTTCACTTACATTTTTGTTTAATCTACATCTTTTCAGATATTCAAAGATCAAATGATCTGTTGTTTGAAGCCTCCAAAGAACTCGCAACACATGGAGCAACTACCAGTGAGTGTTATACAGTTTCCAATACTTGGTTGTTAACTGCAGAGCAAACATTTTCTAAAAGTTTACAGTAAAATAAAAGTTATTTGAAGCATTAGCACACGAATCAGTGGTTCAGTAGTAGAATGCTCACCAGTCGCCGCTCACATGGGAGATTCAGGTCTGAATCCTGGCTGACGAACTCTCAAACCTACACTTGATAACTAACCGACAGGAAACCACCAAAATATTTAAAATTAAAAATGTCTGGTTAATTCTACTGATGTCCTTCTCCTCTTCATAATCACAATTTAGTCCTGTGTCTTCAATCACTTATGGACGACAATCCACAGATCAGTATTCCCTGATTGTGCTGGACCTAGTCAGCTAACAGACCTCAGGAGGCGGGAAAATCGGCCAACTGTGGACCGAGGAGAAGATACTGGAGGTTGTGTGCTTCCCAGATGATTTACGTTTAGTATCAAACAAACTCGGACATATAAAGGCGAAAGCGAAAAGTTGTCAGAAGACACAGTCAGCAGAGATAGTAGTTCAAGTGAACATACAGCAGATTGATGTGATGCAAAATATCCAACTAACCAACAAAAATAACAATTAGTATCAATCATCGATACAAGAATAGAACATTCGCACTGTCCACTATTTGTAATAATGGTGGCGTCACAGATGAGGGTGTCAAAGTTACCCGTGATTGCGTCGGAAAGATAAGACAGACTTTCATTACTCAGTTTGAAAGTCTACTGCACAAAGCATCACAAGCAATGATTCAGATTTTCAACACCAGTATCAATTCACGTCTCCTGTATGGTTCAGGCGCATCACTGAAATCACTTCCGACAGATGGCTGGAGATGTTAATTATCATTGACTATCAGGTTACAAGAAGAGATTGTCAACGAGGAACTTTGAAAACAAATCAACCGCAACCCATCGCCTTACCAGCAAACACAAGAAGGGAATCTGAGGTCGATAGGACACACGCTGATAAGACTGTTCAGTAACATCACACCCAAGTCATTCGAGTGGAAATGTTGAGGTGGATGTTGCGCCCAAATTGGCATGGAGCCAGTAGATTACATCCCATTCTCCTACTTTATTGAAAACGCACTCCAAAATGATAACGGAAGTTGAATACATACACACATAAATAACAATGATGGCAGAAACCTTTCCCCGATATTGATCATCTCTGTTCCGACTGAAACACGAGGCTTCACTCAGGGCACATCTCCACTTCACTCATTCTTCTGTGGTCTATCAAAGTAGGCTCTGCGGTCATCTATATGTCTGCACTTCCCCCTCATCACACCATCTCCTCCACATCGCCCTTGAAACGACACTAGTCCGCCTCTTCTCATTCTCCCCTACCACTCAAACGATGATCTAACTGCTTCAGAATGTCACTCCTAAATGCGTGTATCCAATCCATCTCGAATTTCTCCCATATAAATAATTTGCATAAGTGTGTTGACCGGTTCACTCCCACTTAATTTTCACAATCGATCGAAGGCAACCGAGCTGTGGCTTGTTGGAAATGCCTTCGGTGACGCAGGCGCCAATTCTCCGAGTGACGTACAGGAGTTGACTAAATTGATGCTATTCTCCATACTGATTTCAGCTGATTTCCAAACTGATTTCACAGCAATGTAAGTCTGTCTTGCCTTCCCGATCCGATCCTGATTGGCTTTGGCGTTCTTATCCATGCCGTCTCCTGTGGTTGAAACAATGCTGCCTAGTTCAGTCAGGTGAAAGAGTTGGCTATCTCAGGGTTTCCATCGTTAGTGGTGATTAGTGCCTGTTGTTGTTGGTTGGTCTTCTTAAAATGCACTTGAGGTCATGTCTTCCCTGCTTCTTAGGACAGCTTGTTGACTTTCACTTGTACACCTTCGAGTCTGTATGTTATTAGACCTAAATCACTAACCAAGTCCAGATCTTCTTGACACCCCATAGTTTATTGCATGATCTAGTTCATCGCAATCAGGAATATCATCGATGACAGTAGACCTAATTTTGCATAACTGAAATCAACTTGTAGTCTATCTATACAACTCTGACAAACGTTGTCTCAGCTTGATTCTGATTGGTCCATTTTCAGACTGTTCAGCAATCGATGTCGAATCTCATGTCAACATGAAATGGAAAAATAATCTTTTTAATTTTTTTTTATTTTCCAATTCCAGTAATTATCGAAATGTTCCAACAAATGTCACAGTATCTCTTAGTAAGATTAAAATCTGTGCACAGATAAATTTTTAATATTTTGAAGTGTTATAAATTATTTCAGATAATCTCAGCGTGCTCTGGAGAAAAGCAAAACTAGACTTTTCTGGACACTAGGATTATTTTAAATAAATTATAATGATTCAGTCTGACTCGGCGCTCAAATTATTCCAGGAAATTCGTAAAATCTACAGTCAGGGAACTTATTTCCTTGTGTTATTTTGAGGGAAATAATTCGCTTGAGCTTTGATAACCAATCGACTTCAGTAAAAGACCTACTGAAGGTCAACAGTGGAGTACCGGATGACAATATCCGCGTTCTTCTTTTGGTACATTCAGAGATACGCACCTGTGACCTCACTGGATGTCGAAATACGCAGCGCCTTCAAGATACAAGACCAGTCCGTCGACCATTCATCTTGTGGGGAGGAATCAGCTGGCTGGCCCGTGGAATTTACTTTCCGCCAGCTAGCAATATATAACCCCACTGCTTTCCATAATCATCAGCAGATATTTGTTCACATGCCTGACCTAGTGGACCCCATCGGTCACGAATTTTAAGCAGAGTTCCGGTTAACTTCGCCCTGAAGCCAGTTACCAGTGAGCATCAAAATCAGTTTCAATTATTAATTTGGTTTTTGTTTGACCTCAGGTAGTAGGAGTTTAAGACGCCCACTTATAGGTAGTGAACTGTAGTTGCTTTCCGTCACTGTTTAACTCTTCCTGATGTCATTTACCTTAGGTTCAAAATGAAATCCTACACAATCTTTAATTGTTTCCAATGTCAGTGTAATAATTCCAGTGCCAGATGACTCGAATTCGTCATGTGCAAATTACACAAGTAATAGACTGTGCGTCGGTGGCACAGTGGTTAGGACTCTCGCCTACCATGCATATGGTCCGGGGTTCGAGCCCACGCCGACGCACACCCGATATCTATGGTCGGCCTGCGGATTTTGGGCTACCGATATCCACGCTGAAAATTCCATACTTGTCCCAAAAATACAGTGTGGAATCAAGCTGTAATCAGAAAATGAAAAAAAAGTCAACACAGATTCCATCACAAACCAAAACATATCCAGACCAATCTGTTTGACATCGACGTGATAACATGGATACCTGTAGATGGAAGTCCACGTGTCAAATAGTAATGCCAGTTTGACAGCCAAATCATCGAAGTGATCTGAACACTGGAATGGCGTTCCACTCGTTTTCACTTGAGTTTATTAGTGGTCTATCCAGTTTCCTTCAAACTACTCGAAGACACGTGGAACTTACATTCCTTGGTCCTCAGTATTTCAAGGGTATATATTTTAACGCGAATGACTTTTTGTTTGTAGTGTCCTACAGAAATCTCAACTGAGTCTAGTTGAAATACCAATATTATCGAATTCTTCATAGGTCGAGATTAAGTGAGACATTATTTACAAGAAAGGAGTTCAGAGAAGACTTACTCTTTCCGGTGATACCGTTCTCACTCCGAACAATCACACAAATATGAATTTCACTGTCATAGCAACACAACAAATGTTTTCAAAGACTGACCATGAAAATCTTAAGTTTTAGCGAATGACAATTACGCAATATAAAAAGCGTTAATTGGTTGGAAACTAAGTTTAAATTATATAGGTGAAGTGAGCGACGTGACACGATTGAGTAGAGGAATCGATTCAAGAACAATGTCATAAGGAGTAAAAGAGTGATAATTAGAAGGAAGGAAGAGTTAACAAGAATCATGTTTCAAGTTCTGAAACAATTTAGGTCTTTTGTAGAGTCAGCGACTGAACAAACTTCCACTACGTGCTCAGTTCATGAATCAATTTGTGGATTCCTATAGTTTCTGCAGTTTGTAGAAGTTTTGGTTCACACACCTTCGACAAGAATTCCGCTCACTTTGCAGATGAATCCGAAGTTGGTTTGCAAGTCGTCTCGATCAGGAGTTCCTGAAAACAGCTACCAGTGGAAATTCCTTACACTTCGTAAAACGATGAGAATAAATATTCTATAGTATTTTCGAATAGCCAATACTGAGTATGACCGACATGACTAGCTCCCACCATATTCATGCATTCTGTATAACACAACATAATTATCATCCAAAAACTTAAAATTTTAATGACACAGAAACCGAGAGAATGTTCCCAGAGATATGTGTCATTAAAATTTTAAGTTTTTGGATGATAATTATGTTGTGTTATACAGAATGCATGAATATGGTGGGAGCTAGTCATGTCGGTCATACTCAGTATTGGCTATTCGAAAATACTATAGAATATTTATTCTCATCGTTTTACGAAGTGTAAGGAATTTCCACTGGTAGCTGTTTTCAGGAACTCCTGATCGAGACGACTTGCAAACCAACTTCGGATTCATCTGCAAAGTGAGCGGAATTCTTGTCGAAGGTGTGTGAACCAAAACTTCTACAAACTGCAGAAACTATAGGAATCCACAAATTGATTCATGAACTGAGCACGTAGTGGAAGTTTGTTCAGTCGCTGACTCTACAAAAGACCTAAATTGTTTCAGAACTTGAAACATGATTCTTGTTAACTCTTCCTTCCTTCTAATTATCACTCTTTTACTCCTTATGACATTGTTCTTGAATCGATTCCTCTACTCAATCGTGTCACGTCGCTCACTTCACCTATATAATTTAAACTTAGTTTCCAACCAATTAACGCTTTTTATATTGCGTAATTGTCATTCGCTAAAACTTAAGATTTTCATGGTCAGTCTTTGAAAACATTTGTTGTGTTGCTATGACAGTGAAATTCATATTTGTGTGATTGTTCGGAGTGAGAACGGTATCACCGGAAAGAGTAAGTCTTCTCTGAACTCCTTTCTTGTAAATAATG